CCACATGGCTCCGTGTGACCTTTGGCTATTTCCCAAGCTGAAAATGCCGCTAAAAGGAACCCGAATTTAGTCGAGAGAAGACATCGTGCGGAATGCGACGGACCAGCTGATGGCCATTCCAAAAGATGCGTTCTAGCAGTGTTTCCAGCAATGGCAGGAACGCTGGGAAAAGTGTATACATTACCAATGAGACTACTTTGAAGGGGATTAGGGTTTTGTACCTCAAAGTCAATAAATTTATTTTTGCCGACCAAAGGTCCGATACTTTTTGAACAGACCTTGTATGAGAGAAAGCATTTACTCAAAGTTTGCATTATACAGAGTCTCAACCTGACCACCAGCACAATTAATGCACTCAAACCAATACTCAACAGTACAATTTAGTGCCAGAACACTGGAGATTGGGGAGGCCATAACAACAATCCGTTGTAACCAATTGGGAAACAAAACAAAATTAAAATGTTTCATTAATAATGTTTAATTAAAAATTAAGACTGTTCACATAATTTTGACTCACCCTGTAATATAATTCCATGCCTATAATTAAAGTATTTTGAAATTTTTCAACAAAAGATATGATTATTTCATTCAATATGAAATTTTACAATTCAAACAATTCTAGACACAAATGAATCAAATATCTATGAATAAAATTAGAAAAAAAATTTGCAATGCATTTTGCACATATGAGCCATTTACAGGCAAATTAACTCTGCTAGCATGCAAAATGTGTATATCCTTAGAATGACTTATTTTACTATTTTATATATCATTAGATAAAAAATACACCTGTAATGACATTTTACAATGTTTATTTAAATTTTAAAAAAGAAATGTATATTTGTTTATCAGTTTGTTTACTTTTTGTTTTATGGAGTTAATTGATTTGTCAAATGAGCAGTTTATATGTAATTACAGTATTAACTATATTAATATTCACAAAATTTAAAACAATGGAATCAGTAAAAAATTCATAAAAAATTTTGTTGTAAATTCTAAAAATTAATAAAATAATTTCTAGAATTTACAACAAAACTTTTTATATATTAATATTGATTTTTATGGACCGTGAGTCCCGAGAAGACTTCTTTTCAGGTCCATTACGGTTTCAATTTGGTCCACAATGGGGCAGCTGGGTGATGAGGAATAAAGCCTACCATATCCAAAACAGACCACACACAAAAAAATTCCAGAGATTATTCACCACCCAGATTCAATCCCAGGTCTTTGAGAGCAGTGAACCTTACTACATTGAATATTTGAAAGTAGTCTTGATAATTTGAAAGAAAAATGAAAATGTTATATTTACATAACATGAAAAATTTACATATCTAAAACTAAAGTTAAACTTGAAAAAATATATACAATATTTTTACAGAATCCTGATTTATTTAAAAACATTAAAAGGAAAAAAAAATCATCTAATTTTTCTTACTTCTAGTGCTTCAGATACAACTATTTCACTTTCATCATGCAATACATAAACTAAAAATTGAAGACAAGTTTTATCCTAAAATAAAATAAGAATTGTAATTATTAAATAGTAATTATGTATTTATACAAAAAGAATGTTTTTAAATTGTAAAATTTATTAAAACCTAAAACACAATTAACTTTAATTTTCAGTTTATAAAAACAAAAATATTTAACAAAAAGTTAAAACATTAAAAATTATTAACATTCAAATCTAGTTTCTTTTAATACATATTTATTTTGTTATATATATAATGAAAAAAGTATTAAGATTAATGTCATAATTATAAATTATTACAGGAAATCCTTGTTAGTTCGAAATTCAAGAGAAAAAAAATTTATGACTTCGAATTATCAAAGATTTACATGTATCTGTACAATATGCCAAGTGTCACATAAGTGAAGTAATTAATAAATTACATCACTTATGCAAATGATATACAGTTATGCATAGAGAATGCTATTTTTGTTAATTAATAATAATAAAATAAATATGAAGGTAGACAGCATGTATCTGGTGAGAACATCATAGGTTGCCAGATAGGTTTAATAAAAAGTAAAGCAGAATTACTGTAAACATAACCCAAGTTATTTTAAAAGTGACCCTAAAAGTACCCAAATGTACGAGGGCAGGCTGAAAAGTAATGCAAACATGCTTGTAGAGCACAAACGAAATGATTTTCAGAAGCGTGCCAGGTGGCATATGGAAGTAACATTCCCCCTCTATGTGCATGTGCAGTTTGACGTTGTTGCGTTCATTCAGTATATTTTGAGAAGTGGAAATTTGGAGACATGTTCTGGTGCTATGTCAATGCCAATTAAACAGCGTGCTGTTATTGAATTTTTAACTGCTGAAAAAATTATGTTTAAAGACTGTTTATGGTGACAATGGTGTTGACAGGTCTATTGTAAATTGATGGATAATAAAATTTCGTGGTTGCGAGCCTGGAAAAACCATAATTGTTGATGAAACACGCAGCGGAAGTTCGATCACTGCCACAGACAATTACCATTGCACCTTGTTGCAATGTTTAATTCTTCTCAGTACATACAGATTCTAAAACACCTCTGACGTTCAGTTTGTCATGTTAGAGACAGCCTGGTGCCAATAATCTTGCAACATGACAATGCTCGTCCATATACCTTGCGTGCAACTGGAGAGGCTTTGCAAAACCTGAAGTTTGAACCGATTCCACACCCTCCTTATTCCTCCCGATCTTGCGCCTTGTGATTTTTATTTGTTTCCTCTACTTAAGAGAGACCTCAAGGGTAATCATTACACCTCAGATGATGAGGTGAAGGCAGCTGTCAAGTCCTGGATTCAAGAAAAGTCGGAAGAATTTTTCAGTGACGGAATGAAAACACTTGTTACACGTTGGGAGAAATATGTTAGCCTTAACGGTGACTATGTTGAAAAATAAATACAGGTAACCCCCGTATAACACGGTAGTTATGTTCCAAAAAATTGCCATGTTATGCAAATCCGTGTTATACGAAACAAAGAACTAATATGAAAAGGAGGGTTAGGTTCCAAAAATTAAAAAACATGCTAGTATATCTTCATTAAAATTTTTTTAAGTGATACATATTAATATAAATTAAACAATGTTTTCTTCGTCATCACTAAAAACACTATTAATTAACCGATAGCGTTTTCTTTTTGGCAAGTTACCCTTATCCTCTGAGCATTTTTCTGCATTATCTTCAGATCCATGCTTTACCTTTTGCAAAATGTATGTAATTTTAGATTGCTTGCTTCTAGTTAAAAGGTCTTTATAAATTTCCTTATATGGTGCTAAGCACTTATGAAGAATAAAGCAAGTATGGAATAAGGGAAAAACATTCGGNAAAAAATGCCATGAATTTCCAAATGCCTAATGGATGGCAAAAGAAGGATTTATATGAAATGTCTTATGAACACTCCTTATGCCCTAATGTTATTGTCAATTTAAAATGTTTAAAAGTAACAACAAAGTTTCTTGCAATATATGGTAAGAATTATAAAATTACGTTTTTTAATCTTAGGAATGAACAAATGTAACAAAAGTTCAATAAATAATTTACACAGATATCCTTTCCTTCTATTCATACTATATGTTAATAATTTTGTATATGTCACTAAACATGTTCCTTATATAAATTGGTTTGAATGAAGAATTCAATTGAAGAAAGTTAAAAACAGTTATGAAAATGAGTTTTAAAAAGTTAATTGTTAAATTCTTAAGCACTGTTATTGTAAAATAATACCGTTTTTATACATTTTTTTCTTTTTCAGATTAAATTTATTCGTATCAAATATAATGATGATAATTTTATTCACAATATTCATACTTGAAGTCAAAGGCTTTAAAGACCTATGGGCCCACCAGTGGGTGAGTGGATGAAACCACCAAACACTGGTAGTTGGTCATGGATTCACACCTTGCCAACAAGCTGGCCATAGTTTTCCAGATTTTCTTCATCTTAGTAATATGTAAATAGGAGCTAATTTCCCATAAAAGACCTCCTGGGAGGCATTCACCCTCAACAGATCTCCCATGTGTCGCATTGTCATAATCGGATAAAAACCATACCTTTATAGATTTAATTTTTGTTGTTTTTTTTTTATACATCATATTTGTCAATGCCTTGAAGACAATATATACCATCCCCACTGCAACAATACCAATAACAATTTAGACCAATATACAGTGGGTGATCGGTTAATCTGTTCCAAGACTTTGTTCGTTAACCAATTATCGATTTACCATAGGTTTTTATGGGAATTTGATTAATTTTTGTTAAGGAGACTCCAAAAAATAAAAAAATATATTCTTTCTACTACGTTTATTTATGTGTAATAATAAAAATACATGTATACACAGTCTTGCATTTTTATTAGTTATGTTTTTTCCGTTTGTAGGGGTTAAAGAATCTGTCCAATATTGATTGCTTTTCTCTCTTTTTCGGGATTTTTCGGAAGTAATTAATAGCATTGTCATCATAGAGATTCCCAAGCCTATTAACCTCAACTTGGTTTGGATGCCATTCTAAGACTGTTGTTCTGACATCCTCCCACTTCTTCAAGAGTTCTTTAATAGCAGATGTTGACATTGATCCTTTTTCATCTTCTTCTTTTTCAGAAGAAAACACATCTCGCTGAGTTTGTTGGTGTTCTTCTGTCGTCAGATCAGTTTCAGGTTCCATTATGAGCTCTTCAATATCATCTTTATTCACTTCCAATTCCAGATCTCTAGCAGTTGTCACAATTTCATCCATTATTTCAGGGACATCATCTCTCTCTCCCTGAATGCAGGAGGGACACAGCTTTCGCCAAGCAGAATTCAATTGTCGTTGAGTGACTTCTGACCATGCCTTTTGAATGAGCTATATAGCTTCAAGAATATCAACTTTTTCTTTCCAAAACGTTTTTAATGTCATCGTTGAGGAGAACTGGAATGCTTCAAAACACCGAAGAAACAGTGCTCAAATGTACAATTCCTTGAAACCTGCAATAGCCTCTTGATCCATTGGTTGAATCAACGAAGTGGTATTTGGAGGTAGAAACTGAACTGTCAGCCAGGGAAAGTCTTCTAGCAAATTATCTTCAAGGTCTTTTGGGTGTCCTGGTACATTGTCCAGTAGCAACAGTGCTTTTAATGGCAATTCATCGGTCTGAAGGTAATCTTTGATGCTTGGAGCACAAACTTCAAACAGCCATTCTTTGAAAAGTGCCTGCATGACCCATGCCCTTTTATTTGATCTCCACATCACTGGCAGGTTTTCTGTAATTATGGAATTTTTTTGAATGCTCTAGGGTTCTCATAGTGATAGACAAGAAGCAGGATAAGCTTCATATCACCGCTAGCATTAGTTCCCAAAAGTAACATCAATTTGTCTTTCATGGGTTTATGCCCAGGAATATTTTTCTCTTCTTTTGTAATGTAGGTATGGCTCGGCATGCGCTTCCAAAATAAACCAGTTTCATCACAATTGAAAATTTGTTGTGGACAATATCCTTCTTTTTTAATGAATTCTTCAAATTTGAGATAGAACTTCTCAGCTTCTTCTTTATCCGCACTAGCAGACTCATTGTGAATAACCACATATTTAATGCCAGTTCTCCGTCTAAACATTGAAAACCATCCAGTAATAGCTTTGAATTCTATCTCCTTGTGTGACGAATGTGGAGTTTGTTTCTTTAGTCTTTAAAAATTTCTCTAGCTTTCTCTTGAATGATAGTCATACTAGTTACAACTCTTTTCATTTCCCTTTCTTTTATCCAAATTAAAAGCAATCTCTCCATTTTTCATGGATGGAACATCTTTGTTTCTCAGAATGTGATTTTTGTTACTCTTTTAGCTCTGAGTCTTCTTCATTATATCTTTCTTAGCTAAGATTGTGCCTACTGTAGACCTGTTCAAGCCATACTGCCTAGCAACATCAGACATCTTCTGCCCACTCTAGTTTGGCTACTATCTCTTGCTTGGTTTCTATGGTGAGCACAGTTCTTGACACTCTTCTTTTTAGGCTCCATAATATTATCAATTTCTGTTTGAAATAAAAAGTTCAGAAAAGCACTCACAAAAATTCAGAGAACAGAAATCAACTAGCCCACAAAAAATTACTTAAATGCAAGGCCCAGATGAAATTCGAAATTTGGTATTAAAACGTTAACGAATATCTGATGAGACAGTTAAACTTCTTTCACCTTTCGTAAATAAACCCCGATGCAAAACTTAACAAGTGCATGTCCGACAGTCTCGCAAATACTATAAAAAATTATTTGTCAGAAAGGTAAACAAAAAGCTGGAATTACAAGGAAGAGTTTCAAAATTCAGAGAAATATTATACTATCCAATCGGTATCGGGTTGACATCGATGTTGACATCTCCCTCGCTCTGAAAGGTTTCGAATTGTTACCTGAAGACACGGGAAAATCAATCGGTTTTCGTTATTTTCTGTCGCTTCTTTTTATGTTTATTCAGTAAAGTGTTAGTTAACCGAACATGTGTTTGTTGTCTGATCATAAAAATCTTTCCCGAAAGTGTTCGTTAACCGATCACCCACTGTACTTAATTTTTTACTGTGATAGGTACAGTACACTAACATTAGGAATGGCTTAAGTAGAGCAGCAATTTTGGAAGGATACAATTTGCCATGCACACCACAGCAATTCATTCAGACAAGTACTGTATAATGTACCATCACTTACTTTCATTCATATCCCTCAGCAAGGCTCTTGCAGTTTCTCTCCCTCATGGCACACAAAACATAAAGGTTTTCTTTCTTGCTTAGTTTATTCCCAGTTATACTTTTTGTAATCCTTTAGCTTTATTGTCACTTGGGTTCTGTTTTGTCTTAATTCCATTGTTTCACAAAATTTAAAACAATGGGATTGGTAAAAAATTCAAAAAAATTTTGTTGTAAATTCTAAAAATTAATAAAATAATTTCTAGAATTTACAACAAAACTTTTTATATATTAATATTGATTTTTATGGACCGTGAGTCCCGAGAAGACTTCTTTTCAGGTCCATTACGGTTTCAATTTGGTCCACAATGGGGCAGCTGGGTGATGAGGAATAAAGCCTACCATATCCAAAACAGACCACACACAAAAAAATTCCAGAGATTATTCACCACCCAGATTCAATCCCAGGTCTTTGAGAGCAGTGAACCTTACTACATTGAATATTTGAAAGTAGTCTTGATAATTTGAAAGAAAAATGAAAATGTTATATTTACATAACATGAAAAATTTACATATCTAAAACTAAAGTTAAACTTGAAAAAATATATACAATATTTTTACAGAATCCTGATTTATTTAAAAACATTAAAAGGAAAAAAAAATCATCTAATTTTTCTTACTTCTAGTGCTTCAGATACAACTATTTCACTTTCATCATGCAATACATAAACTAAAAATTGAAGACAAGTTTTATCCTAAAATAAAATAAGAATTGTAATTATTAAATAGTAATTATGTATTTATACAAAAAGAATGTTTTTAAATTGTAAAATTTATTAAAACCTAAAACACAATTAACTTTAATTTTCAGTTTATAAAAACAAAAATATTTAACAAAAAGTTAAAACATTAAAAATTATTAACATTCAAATCTAGTTTCTTTTAATACATATTTATTTTGTTATATATATAATGAAAAAAGTATTAAGATTAATGTCATAATTATAAATTATTACAGGAAATCCTTGTTAGTTCGAAATTCAAGAGAAAAAAAATTTATGACTTCGAATTATCAAAGATTTACATGTATCTGTACAATATGCCAAGTGTCACATAAGTGAAGTAATTAATAAATTACATCACTTATGCAAATGATATACAGTTATGCATAGAGAATGCTATTTTTGTTAATTAATAATAATAAAATAAATATGAAGGTAGACAGCATGTATCTGGTGAGAACATCATAGGTTGCCAGATAGGTTTAATAAAAAGTAAAGCAGAATTACTGTAAACATAACCCAAGTTATTTTAAAAGTGACCCTAAAAGTACCCAAATGTACGAGGGCAGGCTGAAAAGTAATGCAAACATGCTTGTAGAGCACAAACGAAATGATTTTCAGAAGCGTGCCAGGTGGCATATGGAAGTAACATTCCCCCTCTATGTGCATGTGCAGTTTGACGTTGTTGCGTTCATTCAGTATATTTTGAGAAGTGGAAATTTGGAGACATGTTCTGGTGCTATGTCAATGCCAATTAAACAGCGTGCTGTTATTGAATTTTTAACTGCTGAAAAAATTATGTTTAAAGACTGTTTATGGTGACAATGGTGTTGACAGGTCTATTGTAAATTGATGGATAATAAAATTTCGTGGTTGCGAGCCTGGAAAAACCATAATTGTTGATGAAACACGCAGCGGAAGTTCGATCACTGCCACAGACAATTACCATTGCACCTTGTTGCAATGTTTAATTCTTCTCAGTACATACAGATTCTAAAACACCTCTGACGTTCAGTTTGTCATGTTAGAGACAGCCTGGTGCCAATAATCTTGCAACATGACAATGCTCGTCCATATACCTTGCGTGCAACTGGAGAGGCTTTGCAAAACCTGAAGTTTGAACCGATTCCACACCCTCCTTATTCCTCCCGATCTTGCGCCTTGTGATTTTTATTTGTTTCCTCTACTTAAGAGAGACCTCAAGGGTAATCATTACACCTCAGATGATGAGGTGAAGGCAGCTGTCAAGTCCTGGATTCAAGAAAAGTCGGAAGAATTTTTCAGTGACGGAATGAAAACACTTGTTACACGTTGGGAGAAATATGTTAGCCTTAACGGTGACTATGTTGAAAAATAAATACAGGTAACCCCCGTATAACACGGTAGTTATGTTCCAAAAAATTGCCATGTTATGCAAATCCGTGTTATACGAAACAAAGAACTAATATGAAAAGGAGGGTTAGGTTCCAAAAATTAAAAAACATGCTAGTATATCTTCATTAAAATTTTTTTAAGTGATACATATTAATATAAATTAAACAATGTTTTCTTCGTCATCACTAAAAACACTATTAATTAACCGAGAGCGTTTTCTTTTTGGCAAGTTATCCTTATCCTCTGAGCATTTTTCTGCATTATCTTCAGATCCATGCTTTACCTTTTGCAAAATGTATGTAATTTTAGATTGCTTGCTTCTAGTTAAAAGGTCTTTATAAATTTCCTTATATGGTGCTAAGCACTTATGAAGAATAAAGCAAGTATGGAATAAGGGAAAAACATTTGGCAACATCAGAAGCAGAAGCGTCACGATCTGGCAACATTGAAACAAGTTTCGAGAAGGACCACGTGTATCGACAGAAGGCAAGAAGAGAAAATTTACATACTTAAGTACTAATAGTTCACGAAAATAATAATTTTCGTGTACTATTTTTCATGTACTTTTTGCCCGATCTTGCTATTTGTTTTTGTTCGTGTTCTACAAGCATGTGTGCATTACTTTTCAGCCTGCCCTCGTAGTAGCCTAGAACCCTACAAATATCTCAATTTGCTACTCTTAGCACAATCTTGCCATTCCAAAAACCAGCCCTATTTTATGAGATAAGTGAAAAGAACGATAGTCCATGGATAAGGTGACACTAAAAAACATATTACTGTAAAAGCAAAGCCACATTGACTAGATTAGAGTTGTTCTTGGTCAATTGTTCTCTTATAGGAGGCATTTTGATCTAAACCAGGGGTCACCAAAGTGGTCTATATCGACCCCCAGGGGTTGATATAACATTATTGGGAGGTCAATGAAAAGACTAAAACTTACAAATTTTGAACCGAATATTGCTAATCTTGCTAAGGATTATCAAGCTTATCCGTCTCATTGATTGTCAGTTACAAAAATTATTATTAACATATGTATAATAAATGTAAAAAATGTAAAATTAAAAGATATATAATAAAATAGTAAGAGCTTTTTTTTTTGCTTGTAACACAAACTTTTTGGTGGGGGTCGATGTGAGGTTTCGAAAAGTTGTAGGAGATTGACGATCAAAAAAGTTTGGCGACCCCTGATCTAAACAAACAAGTTAACATACACATATTGCAGTTCGGACAGAATTTTCACTTCAAATTAGGAAGTAGCCAAATTCCTTAACGTGTAATTCTCTATATCCCCAATGGGGACAAAGTACAGTTATGAACTAAAGGGATTTCGAATTAATGAGGCTTTCCTGCACTGATATCAAATTATATGCATCAATACAAACATAACAACAACAAAGTGGTTATTTCAGAAATATTTTTAAGATATTATATGAAATTTATGTTTAGACCAATGAAAAAACATAACACATTACAAACTTGCCTTCAACTCCAAAACATATATAAACAAGCACAGATTCACAATTGAACACAAAAAATCATAATATCTAAAATAATGAAATAATAAAAATTATACCTACACAAATGAAATTGTATACTGAAAAAATTATTAAAGCCATTATCATTCTCATAAATTTCTTTGAATTATACAATCTTTTTATAATAAAATCTGGTTAGTTTTAATGGGACCAGAGAAGTTAAATTATTGCTAATTTTGTTCTAACATAAGCAAGAAATATTAACATAGCTGTCTATAAGTATTTTAGTAACAATACTATAAAAATAGTTGATTTTAATACATCCATCTGGGTGTAATTAAGAATCAACAGAAAGTATACAGTATAAAACAATAGTAGCAATTGTCCTTTCAACAAATATTTCTCTAGAAATAATTGTAGAAAAAAAATTAAACACAGACCATTAAAAAACCCAGCTCTTTAGAAGGTTTTTTCTTTAATTTTACTTAATATTAAAACCAGTAATATTTTGCTATCAGTCATTTTTTTAAATATATTAAATATAGATATATTACTCCAGTTAATTTTCCACCTTAGTTCAAGATCATATTAAAGCTGTTGCAAGAGTGCACAAACACTATCAGAACACAACTCCTGACAGATTAAGACACACTCAAAAAATGCTGACAGTCATAAAGCTTGGATTGAACTTCTATCAGTAAAACAATATTCCTGCAATACTTTTCTTGTCTAGTCTTGTGTTCAATTATACTAGCACTATAACAGTTTTTCTTTTTTGCTAGACTTATTACACCATCAGTCAGAGAGAGAGGACAAACTTTAGAAAATCATATCTTTATTTCCCTGAAGAGTATGCATTTCAGATTGTCCGAAATGCATACTAATAAGTCTAGTGAAAAAGAAAAGCGTTATACTGCTAGTATAATTTAAAACAACAATGATATTGCTTCAGTTTTCCACCAGAGAGACTTAGCTTGATATTATGTCATTATCAATTTTTTAAATTCAAAAACATAAGCTAATAAAAATCTATGATAGTAAACTTAAAAAAAAAAACACAAATTTCACATTCATGTCATTATTAAATCTAATTTTGTAATTCTTTTTTTTTTCTAAACATACTATTCTGTTATAGTCTTTGAATCTTGGCACCATTATCAATATCTGTTTCTGTTTGTTATAGAAGTTAAAAAGCCTGTTAATCTTAATTGGGAATGTCTTTGATCCTCTTCAGGTCAGCTTCAACCAATAATGATAGTAAACTTTTAAAGTTCAATATCAACTGTTCTAGAAGAATAAATATGCTAAAAAACTTTTTCTTTTTAAATAATTTAAAAGACACAAGCATATTTTGAAATGGAAAACTAACTAACATACAAAGATGAAAATAAACTATGTGAAAGAAGGATATAACATGTATCAAATGTTATAGTTCTAATAACCTAGTGTCCATATGAACCTAGTGGTTATATGAACAAAGTCCTTAGTGTCCATGCAGGTTTCTAATTATTGAGAAGCACAGCATCATTAGCATTAAATTATTGTTAGATATTTGGAAAGGCAATAAATATATACCTGCTCAAGTATCTTGATAGGAAACACTGACATTTCTATAATAAGTTTATTCCAGAAAACTTACTTCCAATCATAGAACCATTTTGCAATAGAGGTACAGGCCCCAAACTGGGTTAGGCTAACTGAGCACCAATGTTCCTTCATTTTTTTAGACACCAATCTTGTGGAGCCTATGTAGTAAAATTTCCTCCTCTTTTGCTCAACTTCAGAACAAACTCCAGATTTAGAAAATGTATGGACTATATCAGAGTAGAGTATGTTTGTGACTGTGATTGATTTATAACTCCTAAACTGAACATATTTTTCCCTAGCATATGGTGCTACTAATGAAGAAGCTGCGTTCTTGCCAGTAACTAAAAGCATGTTGCACTAATCCCTATTGATTTCCAACTTCTTTTTGTTCTTATTGTAGGTAGTGCTAATGACAGACAGTATCTACAATACCTCTAGGGAAACCATAATTTGGTGCCATAATCCTAATTTGTCAATCCTGTCTGCTGTCATAGAGTGGCTAAAGGCTCTTCTAATAAGAGTCTAGTGGCAACTAGCTTGTGTTGTACACTGTCATGAGATCTCTAGTGTATACAAGAGTCCTTTGATAACTTTCCAAAAACCTTAGTGTGCTGCTGTCATCCACTTTTATAAAACTGTCAAGTCAAAATTATTAACACTACTAAAGCTTTCTTTAATGACAAAACAACCCCTATGGGATTTTTATAACAGTGCAAATGAATTCACTTACAGCATATTTATGATTTGGAGAAATAAAGATGTCTACATATCACAATACAACTTTGATGCCCTGTCCGAACTTCCAAATGCATGGCATTCAATTAGAATACTACTTCCACTATGTCTCCAGATGCAGGTAACCCCAAGGAAACCCCCTTTTTGTTAGTAGTATCTGTCACTCCATATAAAAATACAAATTGCTTAAAATTGGATCAAGATAATCTACCAAAGAACTTCACAACCATTACTGACTGAAGCAAATCTAAAACATTCCCAATTAAGAAGTTTAACAAGATTTGATTTCCATAACAAGCAGTAACAGGAAAATATATAATTCCATCATCTTTAAATAAAAATTTATATTTTCTTTTATAATGCTGCACAAAGGAACAATTTTAGAATCAATGGGAACAACTGCGCTAGAGAATATAACGTTTACACTATCTATTTAGCCTATGAAATTTCATAAAAATCTACTTTTCCACTAAAGTTACTGTTCTTCAGTCTAAAATCCTTAACTTTAATCAGATTTCATTATAAAAATATTTTAATAACTAATGAATTATATAAAAAATGAAAGCAATTTATCTTTTTAGTGCAATTTTACATGGTAAAATCAAAATTTGCATCAAAAAGATGGAGATGAATCAAAATAACAAAACAAGTTTTGTCAATGGTGCATATATAAACATCTCAACTCCCAATATTTTTATAATAAAACCAAATTATTGCCGGATTTATATCAGAAATTGTTTGGTTTCATTACAAGTTCTTTCTTACAAACAGCTTTAAAATCCTCCAACATTTGTTCCAATAGTAGAGGCCAGTAATGGCCAGAAATAACCTAGGACTACAGTATGGTATTTTACATTAAAAAAATAGGTGAAATAACACAACTTTAATTCAGTTTCTTCAAAGTTTAATAAAAAATTCTCTTGTGATTAGAATTATTAAATTTTTAAATAAATATCTTTCTAGCATTTTTATAATTAGTTTGTTTAAATGCTTCAATTAAAAAAGTACAATGTTCTTTTTTATAGTATAACTTACCTGGCATAAACTTTCATGATTCTGTGGATTTGCAGACAATTTCTTATACTTTTGCACAACAGCAAGTGTTTCCGCACTCAGATCATTGGCCATTGTAATAATATAAACTAAAGTGAAAATAATTAAATAGTTATATCTATTTTCTGATCATCTAAAAATTTATTAAAATTCAAGTTCAACATGTTTTTTAATATTATATTGTCATTAATTCTATATTTCTCTCTAAAATTTTAGCAAAGCTTAAAATTTAAGAATATTTGATCAAACTTGGATAATAATCATTGATATTACATATATATTAGTGCTCTTTCTCCTATTAAAAAAAAAAGCATACTGTCAGTTGTCAGTATGCATTTATGACATATGACAACTGAAAACATAAGATTGATATTATTGGGCAACTGCCGACATCTTGTAATCCTTAAATTGAAAATCTCAAATTTGCATTTCAGGACAGCTAATTATTAGAAGAGTTGATATTCTATTCTAATATTATCCCTGTGATATTATTACACAGAGTAGGCTTTGTTACATAATTGTACCTTGCTGTAAAAACATGTTACAATTAAAAAACTACACAAAACCTTCAAAAGGAACAGCACAATAATATACAGCAAGACCCTGCTTAATGCGGGGGATGCATTCCTAGACAACAAAGCACTAAGCGAAATAGTGTTACAAGGTCATTTTAACATAGAATAAATAGTGATAGGGAAACATGCAACCAAAAATAAACAACTTTAATTTTAAGTTATTTTTATATTAATTTGTATAATAATATGTTAAATAACACACACATATGCACACAAAAATGTATAATAATATATTAATTAGTTCATTTTTTGTGACGAAGGTCCTGACTTTTCTGAAATTCTTGTTTTTTTGCAATAAAGTCATGAAGTTTCATTTGTCGCTTGTTTCTTTCCTTAAGCAAATGTCGGTAGCAGAAGATCGCATCCAAAATGCCTTGTTTTGCTTTTGCACTCCTTTCAAAATCTGGATCATTTGCTACAATTTTATCAATGATTTTGGTTATCATTACCAAACTTTTACTAAGACAATCTGTAGAGAAATTTTTTGGGTTCTTCATTTTCAGAATCACTATTTTCCAGTTCTACATGGATTCCTTGTTCTGCCAGTTCTTGAAGGTTGTTGTTGATAAGACTCTCGCCAAGGTAACTCTATCTGGGGTAACTCCTCAATATCCTGTTTGTCTATATCTTCTAGTCCTGTTGTATCGATTAGGCTGAGTTTGATCAACCTAACGATACAGAGATAGGCTATTCTCATTGAGAATTCTTGGATACCTTCAGCCATAACTTCTTCCACACTTTGTCTGTACATTTATCAGTTAATTCTTGCCAAGCGAAGCCGATATTGCTTATTGCATCCATGATGATGTACTTTTTTCCAAAATTGCACCAAACAAACATACAGTAAAACCTCTCTAGTCCGCCCTCGGCTAGTCCGTCACTCCGGTTAATCCGACCGTGGTCGGAGTCGAGAAACTTGTCCCGACTCGTCAGTGACTCACCGTCCATGGCGTTTTTCTGTGTTTGTTACAGTATATGTTTTACATTGTGTGTACATNAAATAACACACAAGCATATGCACACAGAAATGTAAAGTTCATTTTTTGCGACGAAGGTCCTGACTTTTCTGAAATTCTTGTTCTTTTGCAATAAAGTCATGAAAATTTCATTTGTTGCTTTTTTCTTTCCTTAAGCAAATGTCAGTAGCAGAAGATTGCATCCAAAACTTCTTGTTTTGCTTTAGCACTCCAGATCATTCGCTACAATTTGATCAACAATTTTGATTATCTTACTGAACTTTTACTAAGGAAATCTGTAGAGAAATATTTTGGTTCTTCATTTTCAGAATCTACTTTCCAGTTCCACATGAATTCCATGTTCTGCCAGTTCTTGAAGGTTGTCATTGGTAAGGCTTTCACCAGAAACCTGCTATAACTCCTCAATATCCTGCTTGTCTTTATCTCTTAGTCCTGTTATATCGATTAGATCGAGTTTGATCAAGCTAACGACACAGCGATAGACTCTTCTCGTTGAGAATTCTTGGATACCTTCAGCCATAACTTCTTCCACACTTCGTTTGTGCATTTATCAGTTAATTCTTGCCAAGCAAAGTTGAAGCAGAGGAGCAGAATGTCTAGCTCCTCTGCACCTAGCAATTTCATGACATCATGCAACAAATTTGAGAAAAGTAGGAAGTAACATTGAAAACTGAAGGCAGTTTTTATGCAGTGCTGCCCAGCATTTAAAGATTGGGGATTTCTTTTTAATCAATTGACAGAAAATTTGGAAAATTTTTTGCAGTGATGCAGAAATTTTTGTAGTTTTTTCCAAAAATTTTTCATTTTGATCTTTTTAGCATGCTCCACTATAGTAGTGAAGTGCTTATGTTAGGACTTTTGTGTGTCTGCCAGACATTATATATTCGAGATTATGATCTGTTCAATCCATTTTGCACATGTCTATACGTATGTGCAAAAGGGAACTGAACATTTTCATTTACGATCACAGTAAGCCAATGGTTCCCAACCTTTTTCGGGTGGCGACCCCCTTTTTATAAAAGCCAAGTGACCCGCGACCTCAATACAATTGAAAAAGGTATTTTTAATAAGGTAATTAGAAAGACAATGAAATTAGTTTTTTAGTATAATTTTCTTTTAAATTATGTTTAATAATTAATTTAATGAGATGGTTGAAATTGCATGTATTATAATTCATTTCATTAACTAGCCTCAAAATTTGCAGGTGAGATTTTGTTAACGCCAACCTCATGTCATTCTCAACATTTAATTTATTCCTCTCAAAACTCTCAACACATGTTTCAACCAACTGTGACAGAATAGCCTACCCAGATTACACTTATTTTAATTTTTTAAAAATATATGAAATTATTCAAACTTTAAGACACCATTAAAAATAAATATTGCATTATAGTGAAGATTTTGTTTTAGTTTACTGCATAAGTTGGCGACCCCACAGAAAACTCGTCGCGACCCCCTTCTGGGGTCGCGACCCATAGGTTGGGAACCCGTGCTCTAGAATATTTAAACACAAAATTACTTTTTGCCATCTCTTTCTATGGATAAATATTACATTTAAATAAAGGAATGCATTAGTTTTCAACATTTTAATATCTTTTATATATTTTCAGTAGTAGTTATTTAACATAAATTAAGGATTTATGTTTCAGTATTATGGTTACTGATCATCCTTATTCATTATACATACTGAATAATTATTATGATGTTCATAATTCAATATCATCAAAAATTTTTACAGAAAATCAAGATTTCAAAAATCATCAAAATTTATTGTATTATAATTGTGATATTTAGGCAGTTTTAGAAAAATAGAAATATTTTAACTGCAAATAAGAATTTTGCCATATATTTAAAGTATTAATCATTAGTAAGTTTGAATTAATTTAAATAAATTTTGATGTATGAAGAACATCTATTCAGATCAGAATTTAAACTTACAACTTAACATGTTAACCGCTATCTGACACCAGCAGCTGTACTAATTAGGGCCGTACAGAGCCATCCAACCACTTGATGTCGCTATAATGAATGTAGTTTCACTCAGGGTTAAATAATACTGGCTTTGTAAGATGTTGTTTTACATCCTAATGGTGGCCTCTCACGCACATCTATAAAGTTGGCTCTGACTACCAGTGGTCGTATGGCTCTGAATGGCCCTAACTACTACAACTGCCAGCACATTGTATGGCTCTGTACAGTTCTAATTAGTACAGCTGCTGGTGCATCAGATAGCAGTTAACATGTTAATATCCAAATACATTGCTTATTTAAGAAAGTTAATCCATATAATTTAAAATGTGACTAGAGCAGAATTAATTGCAAGTTTATTTAAGATGCTAAATACCCACAATATGTAACCTATTAAGTTTGTAAGTTGATATAAAATATATTCATTTATTCATGTACAGTCAGTTCATAACTTATGATGGCCAAAACTAGTACAGTAGAGCATCGATTATCCGACTCAATTGGGGACTCAGGTTGGTCGGATAACTGAAAAAATTGGATAACCGAAGATAATGAAAAAAATACATTATTAGTATAGTATATTAGGATATCCCATGCAATTAGTATGTTGCTATTAACCAACTTCGCGTTGAATTTTCATCGATGTTTAGCCTAACAAATTTTTTAAAAATAATAATCGTCTCTATTGTANGTAAAAAGTACCCAGTTCCTCTGAAATCTATAAACCACATCCCTTACTGTATATTCAGTGAAAAATTCTTCTGAACAACTACTTGATTCCAAAAATTTATAAAATTTATTTTAAACAAAGTTAATATTTGGTTCACTTTTGTGGAACATGCTATCAGATCGGCTTCATCTATCTTGTTTCAGTAGACTAAAACAAACATTTTAACATGACAGAACCTGTGAAATACTGTTTAAACATTGTGATCAAATGTGTTATTCAAAATTATTCAAAAATCATTCCTATTGCTATCAATGAGAGGGCCAGACTTCAGATCTCCTATTTGAAAAAAAATTGGCAAGCATGTAGCCTTAAACAGTTCCATGTCCAAGTAATAGGATCCACTTCTCAAGCATTTCCAAAATTGAGCCTCTAAAAATTGAGTGTTTCACATAAGCGAAACACTAAATTTCTCTGAAATTTGCAAAGTCTGAAAATTTCACAGCTCTGAGTTGTGATAGCAGTTTGGATATGACTATGCAGTGGAGCTATACGATGTAGGTTCAAACCTATGGAATTTTAGTTCAGTTTTGTGTTTTTTATTTTTTACGTGTAACAACTATTTTACCATATTGTTTACATTATTATTACTATTATTATTCCTCACATTTAAAGCTTATAAAACAAGAGATAAAAAATTGTGACATTATTTCCTGTTTAGTAAAAATGAGTCTCTATAGATCAGTGTTTCTCAACCTCTAACGAATCATCGCCCCCTTCAATAAAACTATTACGTACGGTAGTATCGCCCCCCTTCACTACAAAATTCCAATGCCGAGGGACAAGGCTAACACCAAATTCGTACTGCATTGAATAGACTAGTGACTAGTATAATGTTATTTGTTTAATTATTGTACGATATAATGAATAAAATATCTAATTATTCTTAATATAATGTTTTACTATATCGCCCAGAAAATTGTTTTTTGCCCCCCAAAATATAAATTGTTACTAATCGCCCCCTCAACATGGAAATACACCCCCGTTCAGAAAAACTGCTGTAGATTTAAGTCTTTTTACATCATTAAATATAACTTATTTCTTCACATTTATTTTCACATATTTTCACTCATGATTACATACGTCCTTACAAGAAAATAAGCTTCAGACATTACTGAATATAAAGGAAAAGACAATGATATGATAATAGGTAGTGTAGTTGCAGCATTTTGTTTTTAATTGTTAATATTATGGGCAATTTCATCATGTTTGTTGCACTTCAGACATCACAATACCACCACATCTGAAAATAAATATGAAGAAACAAAAAAATTTTTTTAACAACATAAAAGAATTAAATCTAGAGATTTGTTTTTGCTAATGACATCACGATTTTTAATCTATTAAGCTTTAAACCTGAGGAATAATAATAGTAATAATAATGCTAACAATATGGTAAAAGAATAAAATAATTACGTTACACATAAAAAAAACTACACACAAAACTCAGCTAAAATTCCAAAAGTTCAAACCTATATCATGTAGCTCCACTGCCTAGTGCAGTAATTCTCAACCTTTTTTTCATCATGGTATACTTTTAATAATTTAAAAATTTGGCAGCACACAGTTACTTCAGTAAATACCACGGGTCAACTGGTGACATCATAACAGTTTTAAAAATCACTGTTATGATGCAGTTGGTTATTTAGATCACATTTTCTAAATGTCTTAGTAACTACCGGCAGTTACTGGTAACACCAATTACAACTTAGTAAACTACTGGTTTCCAAACGCACCCTAGGAAGGTAGAACCAATTAAATTATTTATCTGACGTTGCTTATGTAAGAATATTTGCAGTGGTGGTATACTTCAAAAATCTCGTGGCACACCGGTTGAGAATCTCTGGCCTACTGTCTTATCCACACTACTGTGACTATCACCACTGTGATAGACACAGTAGAATTTCACAGAGCTGTGAAATTTCCAAAGACTTATAAGCAAAACACTTAGGTTTTAGAGGCCCAATTTTTGGAAACACTTCAGAAGTGGATCCTATTATTTGGACAAGAACCATTTGTGTTTAAGGCTACGTGCTCACAAAGTTTCGTTCGAATCGATGACCCAAACGTCTGGTCCTCTCCATGTAAGTGACAGCTCAACAAGTTTTGCTTTCCAGATGCCAAACTAATAATGCTACCAGCACCCGACATTAATTAGTAAGTGAAACTGTTGGCAATAAGTAATTTAAAGTGATAAAAAAAATTTTTAACTGGCAAAACGGTGGCAATATTTTTAATTTTCCAGAGAGACCTCTGTATAGCCTAAATTTTCTTTGCCCAAGGACATCAGATACTCCAGCACCGGTCCCAGGAACTACCAATACCAATAAATACACAACAGAAGAGAGTGATCATTTACGTTCAGGTTTACAACACGATAGCCATTCCAATTTAGCTCGGAGCACCAAAAAACTCTACAACGAAACACTTAAAAACTACCGGGGATTGCCACAAGACTTCCAACGTTCAACATCAAAGAATACATCCCGACTGACACGAGTAAAAATGAAATCGTGTCAAGACCAAAGGGAAGCATATGTATACCTTCTAACAAGCATAATTAATTTAAATTAAGTAAATTTTTAAAAATTAATACTTTAGAAAGTTACAAATAGATCCAGAAGATGACAAAAGTCTTCATAGTAGGAGTTTCAGAAACAAGCAGCTAACTAACGGGACATTCCAATTTTCAACGCTGATCTCAACATTCGTTAAAATTCGTTCCTTTTTTCAACGTTGAGTTGTCAGCGCTGACTCAACACACTCAGCACTCAACAGATATGTTGACTGCTACTTTCCAATGAATTGTGGGTAATTGGTAAGACATTTGAATGGAATCCATCTTGCTGAGAATGGAATTATGGGAACTAAGTACTTCGTACTCGAGTTGGAACGTCGATGACGTCAAATTGTTGACTTCAACACTCAACACTCGCGTTGAAAATTGGAATTTACGCTGCACTCTCGCTGCATAAAGAAACGCAGCCAATGTCCCGTAAGCAAATCAATGATGTAGTTTGTTTCAAACGAAATGAATTGTGCAATTGGTTTGCTTACTTAGCCACTTTTTCTATTGAACTCGCCCATTGGCTGAGTGGAAGATGCTTCAAGTAGCCGAAAGTAACTTCTAACAAAACGTCTCATTCGCTAAGCCAACTTTGGAATGAAAGTGTTGCTGTTAAAATCTAATAAACGACGTTAACAAAAGATAAATTTAATTAAGATATTCCTATAACTAAAAATATACAAAACTTACTGAAATAAAAATTTAAATTACAAAATTCGACGCTCACTTTGCTAAATAATCGCCATAACTCACGAAGAAATCAACATACTACTGTATTTAAATTAAACCGCTCTCTTGTCTCTTAACAAAACCCGATACGCCTTAAAAATATTTCTTATTAAAAAATAGTAATATAATTGAATTTAATCGTATTTTAATTCGTAAAAACGACATTTTAATAAGAAATCTTAATAAAGTAAATTTTAAAGTTTTTATTTAACTGAATTATGTTAATGAAATATTAATTTCGTTTTCTTCCGTCGCGGAAGTTTTGAACAGCGTTTTTTCGAGTTCAAAATTCAAATAGTTTGCTCTTGTTTTGTCACGTGTAAACTGAAGTAAGATTTAATTTTATTAGAATTTTGTTATTTAATTAAATATTATAATTATTTTCCGTTACGCAATAATTATATTTATTCTTTGGTTACTTTTCAGAATAAGTACGAAAAATTAGCATCACTGCTTGGTGAAGAATATGGTAAAAGTTACCTTTAGATACTTTGGTTTATGTGTATAAACGCCTATAGACACGTGTCTTAAAAGTAACTTCTACCATAAAATTTATTTAATTTAAAAATAACGTTTCTCATTTCTTGAGTGTCCATTAACAACAATAAGATTCAAAATTACTACTTTAACCAAAAATACTATAAAATCTATGGGGTGACCGGGGTAATGCGAGTCATCTCTTGGTATGGACGCAGCTCCGGACGAGACAGTCGAGACCTGTTCTGAACCGTGGACTGTGCCCTGTGGGAGTAAAATTGATTCTGCTGGGTGAAAAGTGAATTCTGGAGGTTGAAGATGCAGTCCGATTATAATAGTGTTACTAAACTATATCTTGTTTATGTTATTGGGCATGTAGTAAAATTGGTTTCTTTATGTCGTGCTTAGTGTCGGTTTCCGATAATCTTTTGAGGACTTGCTGTACTTGTAAATGCTAATTAGAAGTAATTTGCCCTACTTTTTTGTATAAATTTAAATTCTGTCTGTGTTCTGGACATCTTCCATTTTTACTGAAGTTTTTCAACTTAGGTCACATTCTAGGATAGGGGTGTTGTGTCTAAAGTGGTACATTGTGAGAAATTATCTGGCATATAACATATCACACAATTTTGTTTAGTTTTTACTGTTAAAATTTAATTTATCTGATTTCAGTTTTATATTTTGTTCAGTATATCATCATTCTTTTCTCAATCAGCTTCTTTATATTTATTCTAATTAAACCATATTCACTTCATTTCCTTAAAAATCATTATTGTAAATCTAATACTTTGGTGCACATAAATATTTTTAAAGATTATTGTGCTTACTATATGACAGTGGACTCAAAAAGGTTTGCTATCCCTGTTCTAAAGCTTATCAATGGACAGTGAATAAATCTCACATATGTCCACCATAATGAAAATGTGGCTGCTTCTTTACATTATAATGTTATTTTGTAATACATTTAATGTGCCTGAACTGAACTTTTCAGTTAGTGGGCCACAAATGTTTGTATGTACGTACCATATATATAAAAAGTATGTCTTTTTCTAATTCAAGTGATTTGTAGGCTATGTTTATGGGCTGAATCAATTTGTGCTGCAGGTCTGTTTTGACTTGGGGATCCTATTTGGACATCACTGATGAAATGGATTGTGTTACACTTTTTATGCATTAAATAAATACAGATCCTCATTTTCAATTATGTCATTTGATATTTGTGGAAGTTTGAATTTATTGTTGCTTATCTTGATGTTATCCTTATTACATCTCATAATTGTCTGGTAAATATTGGCATGAATATTCTTGGAGAGAAAAATGATTGAATATTTCTTTATGTTCTATCACATATTTAATATATTTTAGGTTCATACACTTGGTGAAACATAAATAGTTATTGTTTTCTCTCTCAGTCTTATACTACATTCACACACAATCCACGACTCACTTCAATCTCGATTTACCTACAATCTGGATTGTGACTGTCGCTAGTCGAACGTCGTGTTGTTCGCACAGGCAGTCCGCTCGAGAAGAACCTGGCTATTACACGCGATTGTAAAACTGACGTAACTACGCGGTAAGTCACAAACACCAACAAACAAAATGGAAGTTTTTGTTAGAAATAAATACTTTTTCTTGCTGTACATCTAATAATAGACAGATGTCGTCGTCTCTCCAGATGTCTTTTTTATTTCTCTGTCAATAGCCCAACACGTGTTCCGCAGCCATCTTGTATTTTCTCACGCGCATGGGATTGTGGGATCTCTCTTATGACTGGATTTAGTTTTGAGAACTCTCTCCAGTCGATCACAATTGAACCTCGTTTCAGTCGAGATTGAAACGGTTGAGAGCGTTTGCACCACGGAACACTCTCCGACCTTAGTCACAATCTAGATCGAAATGCTTGGTGCAAACGGGGTATTAGGAGTGTAATTGAAATTGTGTTAATGTATATGGATTTCAGAGAAATAGAAACTGCCAATAGTGCATTGTTTTTTAATCTGTGAATGATTTATTTACTGATGAACAATTAGAATAAACTTCTCTGTAGATAGAATATAAATTAAATGAAAATGTTTTACTGTTGTCAGATATACTCATAAATAATTGGTCATTGAAATGAACCAGAAAGAAAATGAGAATATTTGGAATTGTTTATTTTTTCAGCTGTTATATATAACAGAGAGAAAGTGTAGAAATTGGTAAAAAAATGATCCCCTCCCCAAGATTTTTACATTTTTGGACTCAGGACCTTGAAACATTAAGAAATGCAAAGAAATTTGGGGATTTTTTCTGTATGTATAAATGTTTGTGTGTGGAAGACATAATTTTGTTCACCCACTTTGAAGCTTAATAGCTCCTGCGTATTTTGTTGAAATTTCTGAAATTTTGCAGGGAGGTTTGTGAATTAGGTGATTGATGATGATAAATTTTGGTGGTTAAAGGTTGAGGGATGGAGTTTGTCATATCTCAAATGGGGGGGACAGACTTAATGATTTTACTCATTACTAGCATTTACAATTTTTTTTTTTTATAAAACTCATCTCTACCCTCAAAATTAAGATTTTTGCCATTTTATAATAATTAATAATATGGAAAGTTTTTAAATAAAATATCATAACAGATGGCGGCACCACAATTTAAAATTGTTTTGCCGAGAAAGTTATGCAACTTGTTGCTGGATTTTTTTTTATTAATGGCAAATTTTTTTAGATCATATAATGTCATTAATTAATGGAAAATAAAACACAATGTTGAATTTATTTGCTGAATTGCAAACTATTTATAGATTTGTTTTCATTACATTTTATGAGAACAGACTGAAATATATTTAAAACTGTATGAATTAACATAAGTAATTGGTTTTAGCTATACAATAAGGTCTTGTTTTATGCTAGGCTGTGTGTCAATATGTAAAACAAAATTCTCTCACAAATTTATGATTCATCCCAATTTCTCTCAGATGATTGCACTTATGCAACCATTTACAATTAACAGAAAATTGTTTAAATGCATTTTAAATATTGTGTATATTCAATGTTTTTAAATATACAGAACAAAATTTTATTATACCATATCATGTACACTACTAGACAAAAATACATGCAATCCAAAGTATTCACCACAGTGAGTAGCATTTGGTACTTTTCATGTTCAGAATGTTAAATCAGATTGAGTAGTATTAGAAGTGGGGTAATTTAACCATTCATTACCTGCAAACTATGAATCTGTGTATAAGGATCCCACATAAAACAAAATCCTACTGTAACGTTTTCAAATAGTTGATGGTGTAATATTAGAGATGATAATCAATATCAACATATTGGTATATCAAAATGTTTCCAATATATCAGAATTGGTTTGTTCTACATTTGAGAGTTGTTATTCAATAATCACTATCAAAAAATAGGAAGGGTGGGAGAGATTGGAATATAGGTTTGTAAAATGAACTGATTCTGATATTCCAATATACAATATCAAAAGCACTCAGCAACTAAATAAAGAGAAACAAAACACCTTTTTTGCCGAGAACTAAACATAATTGTAAACAACAAACGTTTTCAGCCTAATTATTAGGCCATCTTCAGGTTGAAAACTAAAATGGAACGTAAATGTTCCATGAATATTCCATGAAATGTTCCATGATATCGTATATTTCAGCAGGTATGTGGATGACATTCTGATCTTATGGAAGAATAATAGGAGGGTGCATGAATTTATGAGTAGAATTAATGATAACAATGATGGGCTTAAATTGAGATTAGAACAAAAGAGTTCCATGAATGTGCACTTCTTGGACATTAATATCCGGTTTATGAAAGGACATTTGTCCACAAGTGTTTATATTAAACCTACACACACACCATTATATATACCATCCCAGTCTATGGATCCGTATCAGTATAAGATGGCAGCCTTCTGAGCGTTAATAAGGAGAGCTTATTTATATTGTGACCGAATCGCTGACAGAGAGGAGGAGATTGATAGAGTATTGCAGGTGGCCCGGACCCTGGGTTACAGAAAAAGTGTAATTGTCGGAATGCTTAAGAAGTATGAAAGGGGCATAGTAAAAAGAACTTTAAGAAATGTTCCTACTAGGCTCACGAAATTTACTTATAATAGTAGTATGAATAGTGTTATGAAGGAAATTGCTAGACGAAAGGAATCAAGAATGGTATTAAGAAGAGCCCCTAATTTGTATAAGATCTTGAGAAACGATAAGGATAATATCAGAGCGGAGGAGAGAGCAGGGGTGTATAAGATTCCTTATGAAAACTTACAACTGGACATTAAAAAAGATGCGTCACCACCAGAAACTTGGGAGTAAGGCTCAAAGAACATAGATATGCCATAAGAAAAGCGTCTAATTCAACGGTTTTGTCCCAAATGGCGCAAACACTAGGATCTGAGGTAAAATGGGACGAGGCAACAATCATCAAACCTGTCTTCCCCAACTCTAGCAATGACGGCAGAAAAAATAGAAATATACAGAAGTAAGATAAGAAAGAGAAGGCTGTTTAAATGCGAGGGATTCCGAGAGCCTACCTTCGGCATGGAAATATTTGGTTAAGAAATTTACTACAAACTTTGACCAGAATTAATACATTGAAGTTTTATGTTATTTTTGTTTTATTGTTTTATTTTAATTTTTAAATATTCTTCCGTTATTTTATCTCTTGTAAAATTTTTGATTTAAATTTTTATGTTCTATTCATGGAACATTTACGTTCCATTTTAGTTTTCAACCTGAAGATGGCCTATTAATTAGGCTGAAAACGTTTGTTGTTTAAAATTATGTTTATTTCTCGGCAAAAAAGGTGTTTTGTTTCTCTTTATTCCAATATACAGTCGAGTCTGCATAAGTCGACATCCCAAGGGGAAGTGGAAATTGTCGAGTTATTCAATATGACGACTAAAACAAAGTTGAAAAAAAAAAAAAAAAAAACACAAAACTACATTTAGGAAAATACAGTAGTGTTTTATATAGTATGCAATGTATCTCTCTGATCATCCATCACTGGCACTAAAGTTGGTTTATTACTCCAAATACCTCAGCGATTTCCATCGCTTTTTGTTTCAGTATTAGTTCTGAAACAGGAAGATTTGATGAACGAATTTGCTTTAGCCAATGTACCAGAGCTCTTTGACATCTTTGTATGGCGACTTTCTCTAATGTTTTCGAGACAGCTGCGATGAAAACCTGACAAAAAGTTTCTTAATTTTTTTTTTCTTCAGAATTCCCACCAATGTTGTTTTTGGAAGGTTTTCTTGTTTTGCAAATTTGGCTTGAGAGGTTTTATTACATTCAAATTCAGACACAAGTTTGTATTTTTCCTTCAGCATAAGCGTTGTTAGGTTTCGGATACTCATTTGTGAAACATGTGCTACAAATTATGCATGAATGAAAGGTGAAAAAATGCAAAATTGAATTCTGCTGTGACATTGATATAGATTGTATATTTTCTTTTTGTTTATCTGTTGTTATTTTATATATAAAAATACATGTAAGGTACAGTGGGTGATCGGTTAACGAACAAATCGGATAACGAACACTTTTGCGAAAGATTTTTATGATCGGACAACGAACACTTCACTGAACAAACACAAGAAGCGACGTAAAATAACGAATACCGATTGGTCTTCCTTTGTCTTCAGGCAACAATTCGAAACTTTTCGGAGTGCAGAAGACGTCAACATCGACGTTCTACCCAGTATATACTGATCGGATAGTATTCCCCCGAACTTTGAAACTCTCTTTTGTAATTCCAGCCTTTTTTTTTTCTGACAGAAACAATTCTTTTACGTTTTCTTCTGAAAATGCGGATTTATGCCAATATCCGCTATTAAAGATCTTTTGAAGAAGTAGGAAGATGTCAGAACAACAGTCTTAAAATGGCATCCAAACCAAGTTGAGGTTAATAAGCCTAGGGATCTTACAATGCTATTAATTACTTCTGAAAAATCATGAATAAGACAGAAAAGTAATCGACATTGGATAGAATACAGAAAAAACATGACTAATAAAAATGCAAGAACGTGTATATATGTATTTTTATTATTAAATATGAATAAACATAGTAAAAAAGTATATACTTTTTTTATTTTTGGGGTCTCCGGAACGAATTAATCAAATTCCCATAGAAACCTATGGTAAATCGATAATCGGTTAACGAACAATTCGGATAGCGAACAAAGTCTTGGAACGGATTATGTTCATTAACCGATCACCCACTGTATTTTTATTAATATGTATATATTAATAAATAAGTTGACTCCCCTCTTGAAAAAAAATGAGTTTATGCCACACAGCTTACTGTGCATTTTTTCAGGAGGGGAGTCAACTTATCAGATGTCTAAATAAGTGTGGGACAGAAAAAGTATGTTGATTTATCCAATGGTGATGAGTTAAACGGTGTCCAGTAAACCAGTGTTTTTTATCATTAGTGCCTATGTAAGTTGGCTGGGACCACAGAAAACTGACTACTTAACTGGCGGTGTCTAGTTATACCTACGATGACTTATGCGGACTCAACTGTAATGAGAGTTGATCAAAAACTAATGTTACAAGGCTGATATTCCTGGAATTTCGTTTGTTATAGAGAAGTGTGTGGTAATTCCAATACATGTGGTTGGCAACTGTGCAGAGCTTCAGCCACTCGCCACCTATAGCGCCAGTTGTAGGTAAACATAAATGCCGACTTGTTTGGAAAACTGGTCTCATGAAGAAATCCGCTCAGTTATTCGATTTCTGTGGGCAAAACCTTGACACAATTGTGCAAAGCAATCAGGAGGAAACGGCAAGGACTTCTCACCGAGGGCCTCATCTTCCTTCGTGACAAAGCACAACCTCATACAGCCCAGAAAACCACTACGCTGTTGAAGCAGTTTCCTGGGACGACATTGACCACCCTCCCTACAGCTTGGATTTCGTTCCAAGTGACTTTCACCTGTTTCCTCACTTGAAGGAGAACCTAGCAGGAGGATGATTTGCTTTAGACGAGGAAGTGAAACACTTTGTGACAAGTTAGCTGAACACGCAAGGACAGAATTTTTTCAGGAGGAAATTTTCAAACTCATCACATGAAGTGACAAGTGCCTAAACCGATATGGAGACTATGTCGAAAAATAACCTAATGTATGTACTATCAGTTGGCTGTATTGATTGTATGAAATAAAATGTACACTTTTGTAGTGTAAAAAAATGCAACCTTACTTTTGATCATTCCTTGTATATCAGATTGGTATCAGTCATCATCTCCATTTAATACAAAAAATATCTTGAAAGTAGCTACCAAATTAAGGAAACCAAGTTTTACACAGCTGAATATATCCAAAATAATAATTTTGACAGACAAATTTTATTAATAATGTCATTTGTACTTTTGGTTTAATATTGTATCAGAATGAATTATATATAATAGTTGAATTTTAAATCATAAAATTTCATTCATTAACTTTTTAAACATTTCTTTTATAGGTTTAATTTACAGATGAATAACTTAAATGATTTTTCTATGAAATGGAGTTAAAAAGTTTGATAAGATTCATCAAAATCAAAGGTATCAATTTTGTTTTTCATTTAATAATTCTTATAACAGACAGAAAAGTTTTAATTGCAACATAATTTAATTTTAGAATAATAATAATAAAGTGTCTCTATATGGTAGAGTATATACAAACTGTATATTCAAACTGTTTTTAAAAAGTATGAAGTATAGAATAATTCATTCTGTAACATTGTAAATAGTAGCTCAGAGTTTTTTTCTGTTATGCACAAGAAATAATTTCCACTTTGTGAGTTGTCACTGGCTCCACCTGCACAGTTGCTGTGCATGAAATAATTAATCTATTTCAGTTATTCCAGTTATGATATTTTCAGTTTTTTTGAAATGATAAAATTTACTTCATATAATTTTATTTGAAATTATTATCACAATTTAAAAAATGCTCCTTATAGAATAATTATACTGTTTGTTTGACTATTATTCCTTTACTGTCATAATTTTATTTGAAATTTAAAACACAATTTAAAAAATGCTCCTTATAGAATAATTATACTGTTTGTTTGACTATTATTCCTTTACTGTCAGTATTTTTGTCTTATAGAAAACATTAATATTAATGATTTGTCAGTACACTATTTAAAAAAAAAGACAATAGAAACTATAATAAAAATACATATATGACGCTCTCGATCTTTATTTGTGTTTTAAATTCCAGAATAAGAAGTTTTACGTAATAATTCATAGATANATATCAGATATATTGAATATAATCAATCAATTTATATATAGAAATATCAATAATATTTCTACTTATATTTTTAAATTTACACAAACTTTACAAAAGTAAAGGGATAATATTCTATAGAATTCATGAAGAAATATAATTGTGATAAATCTGGATTGTGACATATCCAGAAAAAACATGTTTAATTTTTGATATCATCATCATCATCAGCTTCAGCTTATTCTACCATTTCAAATTATGGTGTAGCCTCGCCTCCCTTACATAATTGTCCATCATTTGTGCCCATGTTTGCCTTAGTTTGCTTCTCTCCACCATGTGCCTGCTTGTTTCCTTATGTCATAGTCCCATCTTAAGTATGGACGTCCTTTGGGTCTCTTGATTCCCTGTGGATACCACATTGTGATTCTCGTGGACCATCTGTTGTCAGTCCTCCTTGCCAGATGTTCTGCCCATTGCCATTTGAGAGATTTAATTCTGTGGATCACATGAGTTATCTGAGTTCTTTGCCTAATCCACTCTATTCTTTTGTGATCTCTCTTGGTTATTCCTAGCATGCATTGCTCCAAATGACTGTAATTCCTATTCAGTGCTGTCTAGAGAAATATTTATCAGTCCAAATGCAACTAAATCTAGTATTGTGACAGTTTAGGACATGCAGAAGTAATTTCCATTAAAAAGAATTAGCACTAAAACCTGTCACTACAATATTTTGGCATGAAACTAAATTGCAGTTTTCTTTGCATAAGCACACATGTCGCAGCCAAGTTCTATGTATAAAAATAGTCATAACAATTGAATATCATTCTTATTAACTATGGCAATCATTTTCCAGAATGATCATTTTTTTGTAAGACTTTTTATGAAAACAATGACAGTGCTGTGCTTCAGGAATTTCACTGCTGTAAGAATTTACATCTAGGACCATTGATTCCTCAAGCTCTCAGGAGAATAAACACTCAATTTAACTGAATGCCTGAGAATTCAGCCTGGCCAAGGATACAAAACTTATCATTTCATATGTCATTGATGATCTTAACATAGTCATTGCTGAACAGCTAATAATTAATGTCGTAGGTTCCAGTAGTGCACATGCAATGTTATGACAGTTATGGATTTCTACTATGGTACAGGGTGAAGGTATTGAGAAAGTTGGTACATTCTGCCATAATAAGCAGTTGTTTGCTAATACTGACAGGTGTAACCTGATTGATTTCTAAATATCCTTCTAGAAAATGTTAAGTACAAGTAATTTAATTACAGCAAGTGATTAATCACTGTGACATTGTCACAATGCCAGGCTGCAATTTTTAATTATATTTTAATTTAAAAATCATATGACTTCTGGTCTAGACCAGAAGTTCATGTATAGTTATATGCTCCAGCTCCTAAGCTTTCCATATCTGGTATCAATTCTCATCCATCTAACTCTGTTCTTGAGATTAACAAGAGACAATGATGGCAATCTATAGGTCTGGAATTTGAAAATTGCAGCCTAATCACTCCAGTACAGTAAATAAATTAGATATTGAAAGGACTTTTTGATAAATATAGCTTGTTCTTCTGTTTATATGTTAAAATATGTACATGCAAAAAAATTAACCTTCTTTAGTAACAAAATTTTAAATATAAAATTATATGATAAAATTTCAGTTAATGCTTTAATATCTTTTGTCATTTTATGCTCTAGTCTGTTTGGGTTGTTGTCCTTGTCAAACAACTATCTGATCTAAATTGAAATAAACAAACTATATTTTTTGGAAAATATACTTTAATTGCATTTAATTAAGAATTGTGACTCTCGAATTTGAAAACAAAATAATCTGTTAATTTTTTTATATATGACTATAAATTTTGTTGTTAAATCCAAAATCCTTTAAATCATTGTTAATATATCAACTATTGCTAATATACTAGAAACAGCAAATTTCATTGAAGTGTTTTTGATAAGAAATGTTTTTTTTAATTGCAAGATAATAACGAAATATATTTGAATTTGTGTATAATTAAGGTTAGTAAAAAATCTCTTATACTACTACATTCACAATTAGAAAATTCTTCATTAATTAATTACAATGGTTGAGAAATTACCTATCATATTTGACAAATAAGTTTTATTTATATAATAACAAAAATATTTTAGAAAAATAGCAGAAAATAGAATTATACTTGTGAAAACTAGGTTGGCCTCTTTATTCCTAGACTTATTACACCATCACTAGACACAAGATCAGCCTTACAAAATCAGTTTATTTTCCAAAAAAAAGTATGCATTTCAGACCTTAAGTCCCTCATCAGCTTTTTCTTTTACAAATATTTATGAAATTGATGAGGGACTTGAGGTCTGAAATGTATACTTTTTTGGGAAAATAAACTGATTTTCTAAGGTTGATCTTGTGTCCAGTGATGGTGTAATAAGTCTAGAAATAAAGAGGCCAACATAGTGCTCATAAGTATATACCAAGGCTAGACAAGAAGCATATTATAGAAAATAGAATTATAGAGGCCAATATTTTCATCAATTTATCAAAGATAAATAGAATAATGAATTTTATAGTCATATATGTGTTATTATACATATTTGAATCCATTTGGAAATCACATTTCGCTTATTAAAATGAAAGAAAATAACTTAAGATTTTAATTTATTGACTTATAAATTAATATTCATTTATAGATTAATATGTGGAAAGGAAAGCAAGTTGGTCGAAGACGCAGTATTGTACGAAGAATGAGTAGTTGGTTTCCAGTTATTTTACCGCCGAAAATATATGTTAAGGTAAGCATTTATTTTTTATTTGACTTATTACAATTTACAATAATTAATATACAGTAGAGCATCGTTTATCCGAAAGCGTTCAGTCACCAAATTTAAATTTCCACTAGTGCTGTGGCGCTGCAACCTTTGGCTATGTCTTGGGCTACTCCAATATTTTTTATGTTGGTGTGTGTGTCTTAGCTGGTAGCACTGGCACTTTTGTGTGGTGTTTTTCTGAGGACTGTGTCGGGACATGTGTCGTGCTGGATCGAACATTTTTGATACTAGATTAACTTCTAAAGTATAATTTTTTTGTTTTTATATTTTTCAATATATTTATTTTGTTTGTACAAAATAAAGAAATAATTTTTAATGATTCAATAGCTACGATTATTATTATAAAAATTTTTGTTAGGCTTAACATCGACAAAAATTCAACGCAAAGCAACACGCAACAGAGAAAAATTTCAACATGGGCTAGGTTAATATAATTTTTCGTACATAATTGGTTATCTGAACAACCCCAGTTCCCAATTGATTCAGATAAACGATGCTCTACTGTAATTTAATTTAATTTTTCATAAAAAAATAAATAGTGTTAATAATTTTAAAATACAGTCTTTTTCTTTATATTTGCCTTTTCCCCCATGTTTATATGTGGTTGGCATTTCCTTCTCTAATAAGTTTCCTCCATTTCTTCCTAACAAGGGTATCTTCTCTCTTAAGTTCTCTCTGATTCAAGTCTTCCTCTGCCTTATCTTTCCAATGCAGCCTTGGTCTTCCTCTCTTCCTCCTCCTTTCACTATCAGTTTTCCGACCCTCTTTCCAACATAATCTTCACTAATTCTCTCTATGTAGCCAAACCACCTCAACCTGCATTCTTGCATCTTCCTGTTCAAGGGACCTACATTAACAGAACTTCTGATAAACTCATTCCTTATTCTATCCTTCCTTGACACTCCACACATCCATCTCAACATTCTCATCTCTGCCATGTCCATCTTTCTTTCTTGGGCTTTTGTGGTTGCCCATGTCTCAGTCCCAAGCAACATTGGAGGTATAACAACCAATTTGTACAATTTTACCTTACAGTTTGCAACTAACTTTCTTGTCACATAACACACTGCTCAATTTCTTCCAGTTTAACCATCCACATTGAATTCTATATTGCACTTCTGAGTTCAATCCTTCTCTATCTCAATGAAGGCCCCTAGATACTTAAAACTCGGAACCACAGGAAGCGGCACATTTTGGTTTTAATAGTACACTTGTCCCTGCCATTCAGAGTCATATAAGCTGTTTTAGTTCTGCTAATTCTCATGCCCCTTTCCTCCACTCTTCCAGTTTCTTCTCAGCCTTGGTTTGGGAAGGTTCACACAGCCCAATATCATCTGCAAACAGCGTACTCCATGGAGCACCACACTTAATGTCACAAACCAACATATCCATTATCAGGTCGAACAGATAAGGGCTAAGGGCCGATCCCTGATGTAAACCATTAACAGAGAATCCTTCTGCTACTCTTAATTTGAGTCTCCACTCCCTTTACATTTCTTTGACAAGTTTAACATATTAAAAATAATAAATTCTAAAAAAACTTTTTTAAAATTCCGTAAGAATAAGCAAGTTAAAATTCACTCTTTTGTATCCAATTTCGAAAGAATTAAAAACAGAGATGAACTTGAAACTTATTAATTATTTCTTACTTTATTTTTCATTTTTTCTTTTTCTCCATATATATTTCGCTTGTTAGCCTCATCAGTGGATATCACAATTTACATTGCCAATACTTTTATATTCTATTAAGCTATCCCAGCATGCATCAACACATGCCAGTATTTAAATTAATAGTATTTACATTTGGAAAAAAGACATTTTTGGTTTCATTCAGTGGTTCTCTTCAGGTAAAATAACATTTTAACTATAATTCTATCATGTTATTTCACCTGAAAAGAGCCTCTGAATGAAGTCAAAAACATTTGTGGTGAAACTAAATGTGCTGGAAGTTATGTGGTAAGCATCAGTTAGTATATAAAGTTTCAGCTACTGTAATACTTCAAATTACAGTAGAGCATCGATTATCCGACCCCCGATTAACCGTCACATCGGTTATCCGACCATTCTAGTTGGCAAATTTCAAATGTCCGCTAGTGATGTGGCACTACAATATTTGGCTATGTCTTGGCTACTTTAATATTATTTTTGTTAAATTTTTGCGTGTTTTAGCTGGCAATACTGGCTCGACCATTGAAGGGAGGCCAGTATTTAAACGAGACTTAATTTTCTAATTGAGTGATTGTTTGTTTTGTGAGCAATAAAATAATTTAAAAATAATTTTTAACAATACAATAGCAACGATTATTATTTTTTTAAAGAATTTGTTAGGCTTAACATCGATGAAAATTCAACGCAAAGTTGGTTAATAGCAATATACTAATATACTAATTACATGGGATATACTAATATACTATACTAATAATGTATTTTTTTCATTCTTTTCGGTTATCCGATTTTTCAGTTATCTGACCAACCTGAGTCCCCAATTGAGTTGGATAATTGATGCGCTACTGTATATATTTTAATGTATCCTTTTAATGTTAGTTAATGAAACCAGAATTTTTTCTAACTGTAGTCCTATTTACTTACTCTGCTTAAATGTTATCAGTTACTTATATCAGTAGAGGAGAATCCCAAAGTTATTACATTAAGTGGAGTTGACTATAAATTGTAATTTATTATATCTAATCTCATAATAAAACTATTGTTCTTTGCTGTTTATTTTTGTCTTTATCTTGTATATACAAAAGTAAACTGTATGTTTATAATATTTATTGTAAACCCCAATGTAATTAAAAATTTTTTTTTTTTTTTTTATAGGTCAATGTAATTAAAAATTCTTCAGATAAATTGGAAAAACTTTCCTGTTTAAATTCCTCATTATCAAAATTGCATGATGGACTAAATATTATTACAACATTACTTGACAACAAAACTGCAGATAATTATGTATATTGGAGGTAAGATATAATTTCATTTAATTATTTAAATATGACTTAACAAAATTCTTTTTATGATTATTTTTCTCAAAAAATAGTGTTTAAAGCATAACATTTCTTAAATAATTGATTTTGATTTAGAAGCATGTATTATATTTATAACAGAAATAAATTTAATTCTTTTAAATCAATAAGAATAATACAAAAGTTTTTTATTGATATTGATCTAGATCAGTGGTTCTGAAAGTTATTGATCTGTAGACCACTTAAACTGAGTCATAGATAGACCACCATTCACTTCTTATCCTGTAAATATTACCTTAGATATTGATAGATTGTGTGCCAAAATATTTTGTGTATCTGGTATCCTAACATAAAAGATATGTGATACGTGATATGATCTTTTCTCTGGCCAAATAGCATAAAATTGCAGTTTGGAAAAAAGATTAGATCAGTTTGTTGACCATCTGGTATATATTCATGGTTCATATGATCTAGATAACAAGGAGTGCATAATTTTATTACTCAATAAAAACACTTAATTATTTTAAACAATAGAAACTTTGAGATTTATTTTGAACAGATTTATAAAAAAAAATAGAATGAATTTAATTTAATACTCTGAAAATTTATGATGATGATTTTTTATTTGATTCTTTCCCTTACATCAATGTTGAACTGAATTAATATAATGTAATCTGAGTAAGAATTCTAAACATTGCTAACAACATATATCATTTAATTTGATAATTATTCATCTTCAATTATCTAATGCTGTTGATAGCTTGTTTTTTTTCCTTCTTTTTCTTCTTTCTACAGTTTTTCCTTGCAAATGGAAGTGCAACTAATGATTGTTATGAAACAGTTTATAACAGTTATAGCTATATTTCCTGAACTCTTAGTATGCCAATAGTGACAATCACAATTAAATTTAATGCATAAATCAGTCTTGACATTTGAAGGGATTGGTGCAATAAGTCACTAAGCCATACATAGTTACTTTTGAGATATGAACATTTTAAAGTTTAAAAACATTCATAATTCCAAATATTAGGATTAAATGCTGAAATTGCTTTTATTGTGAAGATTTTGGTATTATGTTGCATTTAGATAATTTTAGAAATATTTTTACAATGTAAAATACCTGAATTATACACATATTTTGATAACCAGAGGTATCTTTGCACCATGTAGTGTGGCAGTGTTTGCAAAAGTTTATGAATGAGTGATAGACAGAAATTTGTTTTGCATAAGTATACGTTATAATTTAACAATGATTTGAATATTAAGACACTATTTACAGTTTCATTTCTTAATTTTAATAATAGGATTAGAGAACACAGTTCATTTTTGCCAAGCACTAACCATCATCATCAAGTCCATCCACATTTTGAGGTTGATGTTCCTCATCTGTAAGATCTTGACTAACTGGATTCCTGCAAAAAGCATGATGTGCTGGTGGAATCCATTCCAGAAGTGACATTAAATCTGCAAATTTTTGACCTTCTGTAGGAACTTGTGAAGAGTATTTTGGTTGTAAGTTACAAATTGAAATTTGTGAATGAGGGCAGTCTCATTTCTTGAGAGTGCATTGTGTGAATGATGACAATTCATGGTGATAAGTGGAGCCAACTTATAGAGTGTCTGGTACCACTGAGTCAATCAGAAAGACAGAGGCACTTGAAAACTGGAGTTGTTTTGAATCTGATATAGTTTTCTTGGGAATCAAATTAATCAGTGTATTAGAGTTTTTAAAATCAAACAGCTGCATCATTGTTACTCTGAATTTCTTTTTTGTATTATCATTTAAGATAGCATTTGACCAGTCTTCGGTCACATACACAGAAGAGCAGTATCTCTGAGAATACAACTCTATGCGACTGAAATCTCAGTCACAACGAAGTTGTGTATGTCTTACAACTGGAAAGTGATGATAGATCTGTATAAACTTACCCAAATGCACTGGTGCAAGGTAGAGAGAAATTAGGATTCAGTTTTATTTTGCCCTTTGCAGTTATCATTGAAAACATGAAGTTCCTGAGACTGTATTGTTTTGTGTTAAGTATTTCAATAGGCAACTCACAATTTCAAAAGAACCACATTTAGCAATACTTTCATTTCACAAAAACGTGCCCAATGTCTATTCCACAATTAGGTGTTCTACAGTTGTAACTCTATAGTTCAGCAGCAGGCTCTAGGATTAATTTTTGAGCTGGCAATGCTTGTTGAAGGCCAACAGTAATAACATGGTAGTTTTCAGGATGGGATTAAGCTAGTTGTAAAAGATGCAATTTTTCCTGGACTGCACATGCTTTCGTTAGATGTAATGAATTCAAGTTCCTTTACAAGAGCTGCTTGACTTGATGTCTTTGCATTGTCAATTTTAATGCTTGTGTAATCATAGAAAGAACAAGTGTCTGATTTAGGTATCTTAAATCCTATGCAAAATTCTTCAGTGAATAAACATCAAAATCTGACAGAACTTATCTTCTCTGCTTGGTTAATCTTACACCAGGCTATATATTTTGTTTAATACAAAGAATTGATTGTTTAATCACAATCCAAATATAGTGGTACCTCCGTATACGACTGCTTTAGAATACGTCCTGTTTGGACGAAACAAATTTTGTTTGGTATATGACTTAATTCAATTATACGCGCCATCTATGAACAAGTAGCACTATCAGTGTATTAGACCAGACTAGACGTTCGTGGTGCCATGGTTTATAACTTTGTTAAATTTCTTCTGATTTTAATTTGTAAGTAAAATTTTATTATTTTTATTAATCATGAATTGCAAAAAGGCAAAGGAAAAGCAACAGAAAACTAAAAAAATGACTAGAATCTCAATGGAACTGAAAAAACAGATTATTGAGAAATATGAAGGTGGCAGGTGGCACGCGTGTTCAAGATTTAACTGTTGCATACGTATTCTGAAAACAATGATATCGACAATGAAAAATAAAGACATTATTAAATCTGCTAACATTGCGATAGGGGTTAAATCAATTTTTAAACAAAGATCGAAGACATTAGATCATGTGAGAAATTGCTTTCGCTTTGGATAACTGAAAAATGGTGTGTTGGCGACAGCATATCGGAAGCAATTATTTGCAAGAAAGCTAAAAAGATACATGCTGATCCCATGAAAAATCAAGCAGGAACTAGCCAGGAAAGCGAGGTGTTTAAA